ACATCCTGCCATCACTGACTTCTCTGGTTGCAATGCGCACTCCAGGGGGCTGGGAGGCGTCCCTAAGTTCTCCTTGGAGCTAAGTAAGGGGGGGTCTGCTGGGGTGCGAGGGTCCCGGGCCGGCTCGGGTCTGGCTCAGGCTCGGCCCCCGCCAGGAGCAGCTGCGTCTCAGCCACACCAGGTATCTGCAGCAGCACCCCGACGCCCAGGCGATCGTCTCCGACTTCCTGCTGTTCCTGCTGCTGCGCCAGCCGGCCGACGTGGTCACCTTCGCCGCCAACTTCTTCGGCCCCTTTGACGCGCGCCGCGCGCCCACCCCTGCCTTGCGTTCCTCCAACGCGCCCAGCCCCTTCCGCTCGCTGGAACCCGCGAAGGAGCAGGGAGCGCAGCAGGCCAGAAGCCCCCGGACGGGTCGGGGGCGGGTTGCCCAGGCTGCTGCCATGGACGAAGCCTTGCTTTCCCTGCTGCGGTTTTGATGGGAATAAAGGGCGCCGGGACCTTCCCTGGCCAGTCTTGTGTCTTGGCTAACAATAGAAACTATTAACTTTGTTTATCGAGCGAATTTCAGCCTTTCTTCCTAAATGCTATTTTTATCACTAACCCCATTTTACAGATAAGGAAATAGAGGCACAGGAAGGTTTAGTAACTCTTAGAGTAAGCACGTGGGAAGGATCAAACCCGAAGGTTACATTGTGGCCTCGCGCGCCTAGTCGCTGGTTAGGGGCGCAGGGGCGCAGGGGCTTCTTGGCGCTCAGAATCACTCCGGATACCACTTAGCAAAACTGCCCGCCGCCGCCCCCAAAGAAAAAGAGCAGATGACGTCGGGGGAGGGATGGACAAGGGATCTGGACGACTTGCTCATCTCCTCCAAAGCGTTCCAGACACCCGCTGCCAGTTCTCCACTCCACCTCCCTCCCCATTCTGACTGTTGCGCGGAAACCCCCATAATTCATGCGCAAGGTCCCCATTTACCAGCTCCGGGCGAAGAAAAGAGGGGCAGGTGATCATCACCTCCGTTAGGTTCCTTGCTTAATGTCAGTCTATCCAGGAGTTTGTTTCTGCCCAGTGCGGGCTGCTGCTCAGTAGCAAATATTAGGCAAGCTCCCCTAAGGCAGCTGGCAATGGGGGTGCCCTCCATCAACTCATTCATCTGAACCTGCTATTGCCAGAGGAGGGATCAGAGAAGTTTTGCATTCTGGTAAACAATACGAGCCAATAGCTACAAGGCTGGGGGTGGGGGCTAGTTCATGACCTAGGAATCAGGGAAGGAAGGTTTCATGGAAAACTTACTTGAACCTTAAGAATTTTTAATAATGTATCTTATTGTTCCCTTTCCCCATATTGAAAGAAATACACGTTCATTAGAGAAAACTTAGAAAAAGGTGATAAACCAAAAGAAAGTGAATTCACCTCAATTCCTCTACCTAGAAGTGGCCACTCTTAAGGTCTTGGCCAATATTCTCTCTACTCTTTTTTCTAGCATAAAGGTGGCTGGTGTTTGATCAGCAATTACTCTGTCAAACACTTTTATATAGAATGTTTGATCTGGTCATCACAGTTCCAAGGGACTTCATTTTAACAAAAAAATGAGATCATACAGTAATTGATGCTCAGTAACTGGTAACTGCATACTTAATTGTATTCTTGGAAAGTTTCAAACATTAGATAGCAAACAGATAAAGCTGGAATCTCCCTAGAATCCCACCCCAAGCTACTCGTTTTGTAACTTTTTTCATGTGTTGTAACAGCCTCTGTTTCATTTAACAATACATTTTGAAAATATTTCCCTGTAACTACATAGTCTTCTATTTTTGATGACTCTATCATAATGTAACCAATCTCTGCCCCCCACCCCTGACCTTTTTATTTTTATTTTTTGCTATCATACACTGCTGCATTGAACATCCTTGTAGCTAAATCTTTGCATATGTCAACAATTATTTTCTTAAGGATACATTCTGAGGAGTGTAGTTGTTGCATTGATATTAAGGCTTTTGTTTGTTTGTTTGAACATATCACCAAGTTCTCCATGTGTATAACATTTTTATTAAGGGTCAGATAAAGCATTTCAGGTAGAGTAAAAGTAAGAAAGTGTAATGTATGTGCATGGTCCAGAGCAGGACCACCCAACAAAGCTTTCTGCAATGATGGACATGTTCTGTACCTGCAGTGTCCAATATGGTAACCACTACTCACATGTGGCCACTGAGGGCTAGAAATGTGGTTAATATGACTAAGAACTGGAGTTTTATTTCAATTTAAATTCATTTCAATTTAAATAGCCACACGTGGCTAGTGGCTACCCTAGTAGACAGCACTGGAGAATAAGTTCCTTTCATTCAATCAGGCAAGCAATTGAACAACTATTGGGCCCCTGCCATGTGCCAGGATTATTTTGGGCACTGGGAGGTAAGCAGTGACAAGACAAAGTCCCTGTCCTCAGGTAGCATGGGGAGATGGACAATAAACACAAAAGATTATTTCATATATGAAATTTCAGACATCTATGAAAACCAAGTCATGGGTAGAAAGTGACTCACAGTTGAAGAGTTGAGGGTGGACTTCAGGGAGGGCTTCTGGGGTCTCAGTTGAGCTGGGACCTGAATGACAAGGAGTCAGACCTGTGAAGAGCTGCAGGAAAAGCATTCTAGGCAGAGGGAACGGCAAGTGCAAAGGCTCTGAGCATAGCATGTTGGGAACAGAAGTTGGAGCCCAACAGGGCAGGAGAGGCTGGGGATGAGAGTACTCAGTCATAGTGCAGTAGGCAGGGCCCTGACCAGTTCTGTTCATCTATGGAGAACTGAAACCAAGGCCGACTCAGCCCAGTGCACCCAGAACAATTCTGCAGAGATCCCAATAACCCCTCCAGTCCCAATACTCTGCGGCAGTGGGGCAAAGGGGAAGGTGGAAACATCCAGCCCACAGAGCCTTGCTGTCTTGTATCAGGCGACTTGGGAAGGAGTCTGACCACTTCTCTGTCTGCTCTTTGACATCCATTTCAAAACTCGATTGTTTTTAAATGGTATCATTTGCCCCTGGAACTTCTATGACCCCTCTCTTTTTGCTCAATAGTACTAAGATATACATTATTTCTCTGAACAAAGGAAACACAAATCTTGAGTACTTCTGAAGTGCCAGGCACTGGGCTAGGATGTGGGCATACTTTCAGGGCAGGGCTGGGCCCTGCCTGCATAGCACAGAGTCAGCATAGAAGGGAAAGGGACATCAGTCAAGGATCCCATGGGTAAATATAGACTGCAGAAAGTGCTAACAAGGAAGCTCATGCATGCAATATTAGAGTATTTAATGCAGAACTGACCTAGTGTGAGGGCCAGGGAGGCAAAGGGAAATGAATAGTAATAAGAACAAGCCCTATGCAGTACTTACTATTCTAACCCCTTGATACATGGTAAATCATGTGATTCTCACAGCACCCCTATATGGCAGGTTCTATTATTATACCCATTTTACAGATGAGAGAAATGTAAGGCCAAGGCACACACCTGCTTCGTGGTAGAGCCAGATTTGGACTTAGGGAGTCTGGCTGAAGTCCATGCATGAATACACTCTCATAAAGAGATCAGATGTGGCTCTTTATAGTCAGATGCTAGAACAGAGAGAGAGATCCTCCTGCTTTAGATATATCCAGAGTAGGTGTGACCGTATACTGTCTTTCTCCATTTTCCCCAGGCACTCAGAAGCTGTCCCACTCCCTACTGCATTGTCACTGACAGCAGCCTCATTGCTGTGAGTTGCCTGGGGAGACAGGGAGGGATGACACTGAAGGAGCACACAGCCTGGCCCTGGGGGGATCCTGGTCATGCTTCTCCCTTTAATAATTCTTTGGTTAAATCTGCTGTTCCCCCAAACCAGCATTAGTGATAAAGCCCGTTCTTGTTTAATTTGATGGTTTCCCGTTTTATGATATATTGCATCAGAATTGTCCTCTGCTATTTAATTGTCACAAATGTCTCATGTTTGAGCTACACTGCATCCAAGGCTTTGGAGGGCGAGCCTTAAAATTAAACCACAAGAATCAGAAAATGCATTTGGAGTTCTCAAGAACTGACAGTGACCAATGACACTTTGGAGCTCAATTTACAAAACAACTAACTGCACAGTGCTAGGTGCATATATCTTGAGCCTCATACAAATTCTTCGAGGTAAGTATTTTATTGTCCCTACTTTACAGGTGAGGAAACTGAGGGCCTAAGACACTTGCCTGAGTCATGGAGCTAGTAAGATTCAAGTCCATGCCATTTGATTCCAGAGGCTGTCATGGTGGTGGTGGTGGCAAATCAATTTTTGAGGTATAATATTCATTCACTGATTCATTCTTTTCTTCCATTTTTAAAACTGAGACAGTTGCTGATTCACATGTAGTTGTAACAATAATTCAGAAGGATCCCATTTACTCTGCTCACCTCCCCCCCCCC